TAAATGCTTTGATGCACTCTCTCATTATGAAAGGCACAATAAAATTTTAATATATTGATGCTTGTTATTGCAATCTACCTTTTTTGTGGCAGGCTTCTAGCTAAACAATAAAGCTGAATAAAATTTTCGTTAGGTCAGAGATGTTTGCTCTGCTCGCTCCAATCAATATTCATTAAGGCAAAAGGACAACCGTCTACACCATTTCAAAATTGAAAAAAAAATAATTGAAATTGATATTACACCTTACTTATCACATCTTCAAGATGTCTCAAAACACTTTACAGAATATACTGTAAAGTGGATTGACTGTATATTTTGTGAGCAAACGCAGCAGCCAATTCACACAGCAGTGTTCCACAAACAGTCATGGATTGAATGATCAATTTTTTTATGGGATTATTATCCCTGGAAAAGTGATCTGCCAATCAATTAACAATCAGGTTCCTTGGTAAACAGAGGTGTATGTGTGTGTCGAGTAAGGAAACTTGCCCAACATTTCGCCCTGCCTGGGAATCAAACCCAGGTCCTCTCGCTTGCAAGGCGAGTGCTCTAACCACTAAGCTACAGGACTCCACGTAGCTTAAATCGAAACTAAACAAGGGTATGTTACAGAAGACTTTTTCAGAAGCTACGAAGTTAGGTTTCCTCATTCGACCACATGTCTGTTCCACATGTCCTGTCATCATCTTAAAGTGGAATAACCTTTTATTATCTTTAGTTTGAAGTTGTTCCAGTTTTCCACATAGCAGAAAAACTTACCTGCATCCAAATTTCTAAACCCTTTATAATTCTGAATAGCTCTATCAAATCTCCCTAGTCTTTTCTGTTGAGAAAAATAGGCAACAATTTGTCTTTATAGCTCAGGAATCTAGTAGAAATCTAGTAGATTTCTGTTGCAATTCTTCCAACAATTGATTTTTGTTTGGAAAAAAGGAGCCCAAAACTCCATCCATTATGTAGAATGGTACTTGATGTGGTCTCATTAAGGCCAGAAATAATGTTAAAATCACTTCTCTCAAATTAGAAGTTATCCCCTTTGCTATACATCTCAACATTCTGTTTAATTTCTTAACTACATGTAGAGCCCCATTATAATAGTTAAGAGTCTATAAAATCCCACTAGAACTTCAAATCACCAGCTCCAACAGCGGTTCAAAACACTGAGCGGTACTCATGAAGTTCAAATGGCGATGTTCTGTGGCTTTGGGTCACCTGATGACTGGAAGTCAGGCATTTTGGCTTCTGGCAACAGTACACACATTTGGGAATTTTGGGTTGGTAAATGCCAGGGTCCATAACCTGCAATGAACCTGCGTTTGATGAAGGATTTTCTAATAGGGTTCTATTGTATTTTGGAGCACTGCGCATTGAAGACAAGCAGAGCAAGAGACAATTTGTCTCTAAAATCTTGCTTTTCATTAATGTGTCTGATAATAGTCCAGATGGCATAAACAACAACAAAATTACATTTGTAATACACCTTTCACGTCAGGAGGACATCCCAAGGCACGAAAATCACTTATATTGGATTGTTGGATTCTTTGTTGATCTCTGTCCATATTATAAATAAACTATAGAATTTCAGATCTTGGAACACATACAAGAGCTTTGGAATTTTGTCAAAGTCTTTAAACTTTGGTATAGCTCCTTTCTGTGGGTTAGAATTCAAGTTTATATATGTGAAGGCACAGGAAATTGAAAAAACATATGTGACACTAACAAATGAACAGGACCGATTGTACATAAAGGTCTGAACAGCTGTTTAATATGCCTCCTCCATTCTCTGTCACAGAAGAGCTGTCATGTACAGCTGCTGAATCGGTTCAGTATGGGATTGGTATTGGTCATTTCATTTTTGGTACTATTATTTTGAATAAGAATCCAAACATAAATCTCATCAAATTATTCAGATATTCTTTTACTTTTGTAAATTAATACAAAAAGTCAATCTAATTCTTCCACAGCATCAAATGCCATATGGAGTAATACATACAATACAATTTACACTTGTTCAGGGTGACCAAAAAGTTGTGATAAATACCCTATTATCTTTTTAAACAATCATCATTTCTTTCAGACTTATTAGACATTGTAATGGTATCACAACTTTTTGGTCACCCTGTGTATATATCGCCTTTCACATTGGGAGGAAGTTCTCAATTTTATCTGGGATCTGTTTGTCCAGGACACTGTGAGAAACTCCCTTCACTTTTTGAATAGTATCATGGGATCTTTAACATCTACCTGAACAAGCAGAAGGGACCTTGGTTTAAAGTCTTATCCAAATAACAGCACAACTAACAATGCATTGAAGTGTTAGCCTAGACTAAGTTCAAAGTCCCAACATGGGCTTGAATCCACAACCTTCTGATTCAGGGGTGAGAACATGACCAAGCTGACACCTTACATTGTCACTTTTACTGCACAACAACAACTACTTGCATTTATATAGGTCTCTTCAAACGAGTTATGTCTGGGACTCAATCAGGTATCGTGCAACAAAATGCACCATTTCATCAGAAAGTGCACCTCCTCTATTATTGGGAAATATTTGGAATTGGAAAACAAGAGTGCATTATTCTTCTCTAAGTTTTAAAATGAGGTGATGTGTTATTTTCAGGAAACATATGTGCAAGTCTATACTTAGGCAACAGCATGCCCATGTTATCTGAAACCAAATTCTTGCCTGCACACATCAGAGCACATTAAAAAGGAGTCTTGTTCTAAATTAAACTGAAAATAACAAAATAAAACTAACAGCGTGAAAATGTAAATTCCAAAAGTTTAACTAATTAACCTTGCATCAACCAAGATCGATTATTTGGCATAAAAAAGGCAGATACAGTATCAGCTATTTCAACCTTCTTTCTTCTATAATCAAACAGGCATCAGCCTAGTTCGGTTGGTGAGTCAGAAGATTGTGGGCCCTCACGTCTCCCACTGGCACTTTGTAATAATAGCCTATCTGTTCAGGTGCGTTAAAAAATTCGATGGCACCATTCGGAAAGAGAGGGAGTTTCTCCCAATATGCCCATTAATGCCAAAGATAAAATTGGGTCTTTCACTTCATGGCTGTTTGTGGCTATTCACAAAATTGGCTGCTGGGTTCACCCACTGCACTGGATTTACCATAAAGTGAAGTGATTGGTTGTTTTGTAGACGAATGCACAGCCAATTGTGCACATAGCAAACACCACCAAAAGCCATGAAGTGAGTGACAATTGTATCCGAGGGTACGATGGATGGTACACCAGGTGAAACTCCCTTATCTTTTCGAATAGGGCCATAGGATCTTTAACATCCACCTGAACAGGTAGATAGGAACCTCGGTTTAACGTCTCATCTGAAGGACAGCACCTCCGACAATGCACACACCCCCAGCAGCACTGCATTGGAGCGTCATCTTAGACTATGTAATTCCAAGTCCAGGCGGACGCAAGGCGATTGCGCTCCAGCAGGTAAAAGGCCCTCCAGGGAGCGGACGGTTGATGTGATGAGTCAGTGCCTATTGGAGTTGATGTTAAATATCCCATGCCACTATTCAAAAAGTGAAGCAAATTTCTCCCCGTGTCCTGGCCAGTTTTGCCTCAGATAAAATCGGGCAAAAGTTACCACTGAGCCAGGCTGACACACAACTGAAGTACGGGGGGGGGGGGGGTAGGTGGGCAGTAACATGTCAGCTGTCAGGGTCACCTCCTGACAGCTGAGCTGCACTTTGGAGCTGAACCACCCATGCGCTTCCCTCGGCTCAGTCACAGCCATTGGACAGGTTTGGCCAACGTTGGCCGTCACTGAGCCAGGCTGAAAAACAACTGATGTATGGGGGGGGGGCAGTAACATGTCAGCTGTCAGCTCCTGACAGCTGAGCTGAGTTGCACTTTGGAGCTGAACCACCCATGCGCTTCCCTCGGCTCAGTCACAGCCATTGGACAGGTTTGGCCAACGTTGGCCGTCACTGAGCCAGGCTGAAAAACAACTGATGTATGGGGGGGGCAGTAACATGTCAGCTGTCAGCTCCTGACAGCTGAGCTGAGTTGCACTTTGGAGCTGAATCACCCACGCACTTCCCTCAGCTCATTCACAGCCAATGTCGGGCAGGGCGGCTTCCTCCACGTCCAAATTGGGGCTGGTTTTGGTTGGCACTTTTTGGGCGAGTGTCTAAAATAAAGGGCTTTTGGGCGGGTGCCTAACGTTGGAGATTTCCCCCGCCCCTTACACGGTTTAATTAAAAAGGCACCGAGCCTACTCTGCTACTACCCAACCACCCCCCCCCCCCCCCCACCACCACCACCGCCCCCACCGCCATGCACGATATTGGACAGCGTTTGGCCGACTTTGAGCTAGAAATGTAAGCCCTGTAGCTCAGCGGTTCGAGCACTCGCCTCGCAAGGGAGAGAGACTTAGGTTCGATTCCCACCTCAGGGCGAAGCAACGGGCAAGTTTCCTTACTCCACACGACCCCCCCCGGTCACCCGCAGTAAGCAGGAACCCGGTCGTCGAGACGATTGGTGGATTGCTTTTCCGGGGGTAATGATTCCTCCCCTCCCCACCCAAAAAAATAATAATAATGATAATAATAATAATCTGGTCACTCCATCCACGACCGCAAGCGGGACACGGCTGCGCCTACCAATCGGCTGCTGCGTTCCGCCCACGAAACAGGCGGTCAGTTCGCTTGACGGCATGTTTCTGCGAAGCGCTTTGAGACGTCTCGAAGAGGCGATGAGACGCTGCACCAAATGCAAGGATTATTATTATTATTATTATTATTATCATTATCATTACTGTTTAATATCGAGCCACAGCATTGCACAACGCGTGGCGCTGTAACCCTGCGGACCTGTACCTCCATTTCCCCCCCCCCCCCCAAAAAAAAAAATACAAGGAATATAAAATAATAATAATAACAATAATAATAACCTGAAGGCAGCGGGTGGGGGTGGAGGAGCGGTGCCTTGTGGCTGCGGTTACTCTGGGAGGAAGGCGAGGCTTTTACTCACATTTAAACTCAGACACCGACTCGCGACCGTCAACCGTCCGCTCTCGCGGGGGGGGGGGGGGGGGGGCCTTCACACGCTCGAGCGTAACGGCCTTGCAACTGCCTCACGCCCGCCTGTCATGCGAACCTCATCGTTCACCTTAGGCCCCGTTTCGAATCGAGCGGGGCATCGGTTTCACAACATTTTCCATCGAACGATTTGTTTCAAACATTTAAAAACAAATAATAATAATAATGACGGGTTTCTTCGGCGGCGCGTCCCTCACTTTAAATCAAGCTTTTAATTGACCTCGACCGTCAGGCGCGGCGGCGGCGCTTTCTCTTCCCCCGCGCGGGGGATTGTGGGGGTTGTAGTCACCCAGTAACCTGCAGCCGGAGGCGTCCAGCTCGTTAGAGACTACATGTCCGAGAGTGCATCTCGGCTCAGCTGACCGCCGCCGCCGCCGTGGAGAAGGAGTCGGCAAAGGGGGACCAGACCGCTGCGTTGACTCAGACCGTGTGAGTCCCGCTTATCCGGAGCTCTGTGCGGGTGGCGTCCTCCCCAGCGCTCGCAGCCTTCAGCTCTTGCTTTTTTTTTAAAAAAAGGTGTATTTTACCGTTCGAAGTCCTTTTGCCGCCCACCACTTCCTGCAACCGTCCCCCAATTCACCTGCCTGCCCCCCCTCCCCCACCCACCCCCAGGTCCCCGCTGTTGCCTCTCTGGGCCGTGCAATGATAATTATCCTGACATCCTTTGGCGGGTCTCTCCCCGCCCTCCTCCCCGCCCTCCTGCTCCTGACCCCCAGCTCGGATGCAAATCCTTGACTCTCCAGTGCCTCGGGACAGCCTCCCGCTGCGAAAGGCGTAATTCGTTGTTGACCGGTTGCACGTTTACAGCACAGGAGTAGACCCATCAGAGCGGAGTGTTGAGTCAATCCCATTGCCTCCGTCTTATCCATCACACCCCTCCTCAAGCCTCTGTCTTTAATATACCTACACTTATCTCCTTCATAGACCTGTCCCATCATACGCCTGTTCTTGTCATGATAATAACAGTAATAATCCTTGCATTTGATGTCGCGCTTTTCACGTCTTCGAGATGTTTCAGAGAACATACTCTCGAGGGAATTGACTGTATAATTGTGGGCGAAACACGGCAGCCGAGTGCGCGCAGACGGTTGTGGATTGAATGACCAAATTATTATTGTGTTTTGAGGGATTGAAAAAGCCTCGAGTTTCTGTGTAGTTTCAGGTGTGTGGTTTCAGGTGTGTGGAGCAAGGAAATTTGCTCAAGGTTTTGCATTGCTGAGAATCAAACCCAGGTCTCTGGCTTGTGAGGTGAGTGTGTTAACCACTGAGCCACAGGACCACAATTATATACCTATCTATCATACACCTGTTTAACTTCTCCCTGAAACCCACAATGGACTCTACGTACATCCTAACAACTCTCTGATTGAAAAAAAATCACTTAAGTTCTCCTTTCAGTCTTCTGTGACTGTCTCATAACTTTAGCCCCTAGCCACTAAATCCTTTATCAATTTCCCCTGTCAACCCCCCTTGTAATATTGTACACTTCCATCAATTTCCCTCTCACCAATGGAAAATAGATCCAACTTATCCAGTCTCTCTTCATAACTAAATCTGATCATCCCTGTTATCATCCTTGTCAATCTCGTCAGCACACTCTCCAAGGCCTTAACATCTCTCTTAAAGTGAGGTGCCCAAAACTCCAATTGTGGCCTAACCAATGATTTGTACAAATGTAGCATTGATGCTTTAATTTTATACTCTATGCTCTATACTCAGTGGACCATAACATTTAGTATGACTCAGATGAAGTCTGAGTTATAGGCAAACGTGTATAAATCGTATAAAATCTGATTTAATCAATAATCTACACTGCGCATGTATAATTCAATGCAGACAGTAAGTGTGCATGCGGAACTTATCACTGCAACTGGTAAGTGCCCAAGCGGTTTCATTTGCGTCTTGATCCATCGCCACATGTACCGGTAAGCATTAGAATCGCATTGAATTGCGGGAAATGAAGTTCTTCTGCACATGCAGTGATGGATCAAGACTACATTTCCCGCGATTCATTGCAGCTAGTTGGTAGGCAAATGTTGCGTCATTGTGGTTAGAGCACTCGCTCGCAAGCAAGAGACCTAGGTTCACTTCCCGGCAGGGCTCAATGTTGGGCAAGTTTCCTTAACTCCACACGCCTCGGTTTACCTAGCAGTAAGTAGGAACCCGTTAGTCGATTGGCGCATCACTTTTCCAGGGGTAATAATTCCTTAAAAAAACATACTAAATTGGTCACTTCGACCTTGACCTATCGGCAGCATTCGATACGGTCGACCATGCTATCCTCCTCCACCGCTTGTCCTCCCACCTCAACCTTCAAGATCCTGTCCTTGAGTGGTTTAGGTCGTACCTCTCCCACCGTATTCACTTTGTTTCCACAAACGGCTTTTCCTCCACCCCCCGCACTGTCTCATGCGGTGTCCCTCAGGGCTCTGTCCTCGGTCCCCTCCTCTTCACCCTCTATATGCTCCCCCTTGGTGACATCATCCGCAGACATGGGGTTAACTTCCACGTGTATGTGGATGACACCCAACTCTACCTTTCCTCCTCTACCCTCAACTCCACGACCACCGATGTCCTGACAGCCTGCCTGTCCGACATCGAGTCCTGGACGAGAGACAACTTTTTTCAGCTCAACGTGCGTAAAACTGAGGCCCTCCTGATTGGCTCACGTCAGCGCCTCCGCACCTCAGGCGCTGACAGCATCAGCATCCAAGGCTGCACTCTCCACCTCTCAAAGCCGGTCAGGAACCTCGGACCCTGAGCTGTCCTTTCTTCCTCATATCCGCGCCACAACTGGCACCGCCTTCCATCACCTCCGGAGCATCGCCAGACTACGGCACTACCTCACCCCTCACGCTGCTGAAACTCTGGTGCGCAATTGGCTGCCGCGTTCGCCCACAAATATATGGTCAATTCACTTTACAGTCTATTCTGTGAAGCGCTTTGAGATGTCAAGAAGACGTGAAAAGCGCTATATCAAATGCAAGGATTATTATTATATTTCTAGCAATCAAGATCAGTATCACTTTTTTTCTCTATTCTATCTCTTGGACCTGGTTGGTTTGCTGATGAGCAGAACTGTACACAGTACTGCAGAACACGCTACTGTATAAGAGACTTATATGGTCCTTTTTAAAATATTGAAAATCTAGATCCATTAAGTTGGCGAAGTATGTCCATTGTGCTGATGTTGTGAATTGGGAGAAGTAACACATGAAGACATTTAGCAGAAACCATTTGCTGAGTCAGATTGATGAATGGAAAAAGCTAGCCAAAACAAATCCATTTCACAGAAAGTTTAACTGCAAAATTGAGTTTATTTTTTTCTCAATTAACAGATGGTTTATCAGTGTTTCAAACAGTGTTTGAACCTGCATTGTTCTGCTTATTTGTTTCAGTTTAAAATCTTAACTAAATGATGTTCTAAGGTTGATGTGTGAGATTTATTTTTCCCTTCCATGTTATATTCTGTTTGACCTTAGTAACCTGTGGTGCTATTAAAAAAAAGCGAGCAAAATAATGTACTTAAATCTTGAAGTGTCAAGAATGGATTTTCTATGATTTCCTGCCTGGTGGTTCAAGGGGAAAATTTGCGTAAGGGATTGTATTTAAAATGTAAAGTTTTCCCCAGCTCATTAAGTTAAAACATATTAACATATATGAAATGTTTCCTATTTTTACTCTACTTTTGTCTTCTCAAAGAAACTTTTTCTCCTTGTGTGCAGCATTACACAATGCTCAATTTTGCTGGCTTGGATGGCTCCCATTTATTGTTCAAAATGCGTTCCCTGTGAGAATACTCTGTGGTACTCCTTAGTGTGACATCAACTAAATGCTGCTGACCTTTATATGAAAAACTGAAGTGTCTCAGTTGGTTGAGCAGCCAATTCACCACTGGGGGTTCTTAGGATAGAGGGAGGAAAGAACAAATAAAATGTCTCTTCATGTTGTTAGGAAACCTTTCTTCAGAGGTACTTTTGATAGTACCTACTTATGGAAGACTACTGTCGTTTATATTGGAAGTACAGCTTGCAATTAAAGGGACCTTTAATGTCCCTTTGAAAGATTTTATTGTGCTTCCAATCTTTCCCATGAGCAAACTGGATGCATTGGTAACATGTAGAGTGCATCCAGTATGTGAAGTTATTCATAGTTAATGATTTAGAGAACTAAATTTTGAAAACTATCAATTATTCCATCCCTTTGAGGGTTATCTGTGCCAGAAAACATTCCCATTCAGAACCTTACATCGAAACATAGGAATGTTCAGGACCGGAAAAGATGATTGTAGTCCATCTGGAAGGTCCCTAAGTAAATAATTAAATAAAGTTTAAAAATAATAAATAATCCTACACTACTATGTCTCTCATGCCCCTGAATTGAATTATTCACCAAATAACTATCTAATTCCCTCTCGAGTTTGCTGACACAATCTACCTCCTGGTTAATTTGTTCTACATATTCACCACTCTCTGTGAGTAATTTGTCACCACACTGCTAACCTTTGGAAATGCCTTGCTCTACCCTTCCATCTTACACTCTCTCAATCTATCTTTTAATCCTACCTGAACATCAGCAATAACAAAGTTACATTTGTACAGCGCCTTTCATGTCGGGAGGACGGCCAAGGTGCTGGACAGGCAGAATTTTGGACCTGAGGTGGGGGTCGGAACTGGAGAGGGTGGAGGGCAAGGGAGAAAACAGGATGATCGAAAGCACGGTCGAAGAGGCGGGGGTCTTGTGATGGATCTTGAAGGAGGCAATTAAGGGGGCGAGGCGGAGGGACTGCGGGATGAATTTTCAGAGGGTGGGGGCAGAGTGGCTGAAGAAGACCTGCCTGCCAATAGTGGGGCGAACGAAGCGGGGGACCTGAAGCAAGCCAGAGCCCGCTGAGCGGAGGGAGGGAGCAAGGTGGTAGGGGGTTAGGAGGTCACAGAGGTAAGGGGGAGCAACACCTACCTCTTCAATTGTTACTGTGGTCACTTAACCCTCCCACTATCTTCCTCCCTTGGGCAGCCTCTGAACCCATCATTATGAAACTCTGAGACCTTATCCTACACAAAGGCTGCAATATAAATGCATGTTCACCTTCACCCTTCTGAGCTCGAATCTGTGTTCAGGGTTTTAAATTCCTTCAAAAGGATGGAAATGGCACACTGGGGTTTGGAGCCAGACCTTCAGTTACTCAACCAACATAACTAAAGTATTTCAGCTCTTCATACAAAGTTCAGCAGCATTTGGTTTATGTCAGCAACCAGAAGCATAACGTGTATCGTGGTCAGATGCAGTGCAAAGTTCATCCATTACCTTAATTGCAATCTCAACAATGTAACGATCCCCCCCACCACCCCACTCCCCTCCATGAATATATTTCTTAAAAACTTCCTAAGTCATCTTTGTGGCCTCTTTGAGTGAAATTGCCAAGACTG